GGGGGGGGGAGACACATATAATTAAGCTGTGAGGGCAGAGTTCTGGGGGCGCCAGAGCATGCAGTTGGTTTGGAGAAATGGCCAGTCTACCCTGTCCCATGGGGTCACTCTGAGTTGGAATTGACTTGAGGACAATGGGTATGGGCAGTGGTGACAATGGCCTTGTTTCTAAACACAGTCTTTGAGGAGGTTATTCATTACATGAGGCCGGGCGGAGGGTGCACTCAATCTGACCTGAGTGGTGAAGAGACAGATCAGACACGCAGAGGAAGAACACTGGGTAGCAATGAAGGTAGATATCACACACACACACACACACACACACACACACACACACACACTCACTGCCATCAAACCATGTCTGACTCATAGTGTCCCCTCCCTGTGGGTTCCCAAGGCTATACATCTTTATGGGAGCAGAAAGCCTCATCTTTCTCCTGCCCAGTGACTAGTGGATTTGAACCACCCACCTTGCAGTGAGCAGCCCAGTACATAACCACTAAGCCTCCAGGGCTCCTGGAGGCAGGCACAGCTGCAGGCAAAGGTGCATTCAGGGTTGCTGAGAGTCACCAGTAACCAGCTGCGGAGAAAAGGATCTTCCTCAAGTTCATATGTTCCCAAAGTGCGCGATACCACCCTTGGGGGTGGGGTGGCACTGGAATGACAGAGGGGGCTCGATGACAAAGCAGGTACCCTTCCTCATGGAGTGCGGACTACAATACAAAGGTTTTCAATGGCCAGAGGGGCGCTGAGTACATTTTTTTTTTTTTCCTGAAAAGGAGGCAGGAGGCTACCCTCAAATAGGCCAAATTTTCGGGGTGGGGGGAGGGGGGAGATGACTTTTTCAGGGAAAAATACTACTCAGCACCCCTTTCCAGAAAAATTCAAAAACAAGACTCAGTGCTCGCATGGCACTGAAATACTTTTGTACAATTTAGCCCCCATCCAGGTTACAGTGCAGGTAGGTACCTGCTTTTGCACTCCCACTGGGCGCTTTTAGCGCCCCCTAGGGCCCACCTAGGGAAACACTGCTCTAGAGCCTTTGTGGAGAGAATGGCCCCGTTGATGCCTGCCTGGGTTTGAACATGGCCTCCAGATAATAAACCGCTGCCGTGGGAGGCCGCCTGGTTCGTTAGCAGCCCCAGGAAAAAAATACACATGCCTAGGAAATGTTCTCAAAAATGCCTACAGTTTAAAACGGCCATGTCCGAAGACAGGTAGCAGTGAGACTAGGTGTTTGCATCGGTCAAATCCATTACCTATTAAGAAACGAGGAGGGGACTGCCAGGAGTCCTTGGAAACAGGAAACTAATGACAACGGAATTTTCCCACAAACTTTGTGAAGGCCCTTGGATTATGCTATTGTTGATGATCCTTTGGGATTTCAGGAGAACAGAAAACAACTCGGTATTTCCATCATTCATCCCAGAATCTTCTTTAAGCACTTTCTGTGCCGCAGGCTCTGTTAGACCCTGGATACAGAAGTGTCCAAACGGGAGAACTGGCTTTTGGTTGTAGCGTGACCTGGCCTGGAGTCTCCAGACCTAGATCGGACCCCAGAACCCAAAAAACCTCACGGCCCACCACTGGCCGTGTACTGGCATCTGCACCCAGGTTCAGCAAGTTCTACTCTTTGATGGGTGGCCTGGGCGGGGCAAATGATTAAGCACTGGGCTATGAGACCCGCCCTCTCCCGGCCCCCCAGGTGCCTCAGAAGAAAGAGCTGGCAGTCTGCTTCTGAAAAATCAAGGGCACGAAGCCGCGGGGCACAGTTCGTATCTGAAACACAGGAGGCCAGCAGGGGTGTCATAGAATTGGCAGCGACCTAGGCAGGACAGACAGAGACCAAATGGAATTCTTCCCATCTATTAGTAGTTAAATAGGTCACCTATAAGAAAATTGGAAGGAAGCTCCAGGCGCCACGGCTTTGCTAGGGCTCTTGCTTGTCCACTTCTTTTTTCCTCACGGTCCGGGGCTGGCCTTTCTTTAGGAAGACTTTGCCTCCGAGGTCCTTGCTGGGAACACTCACTGTAGGGCTTACTTGGGGGCGGCTTCTCTTGAGATGGAAGTTCACCTGGAAGTGAACCAGAAGTTAGGCGAACAGAGGCATGTTTCGACTTCCTGGAACTGAAATGGGGGAGGGCCCAGTTCGGAACCTTGCCACCCGCCCCTCTCCCCCTCCACAGACTTCTGGGTTCTGAGGGCCGAAGACTAGGGAGTTATTGGAGCAGAGATCCAGGGTGGCACTGGGGGTGTCATATAGGCCCAGCTAACAGACCACCACAGGTGCTACATGAAGTCTATTGGAGGAATGGAATATAATCTTATTTTATTAAGCACAACAAAATAATTCACTGCCATCAAGTCAATTCTGACTCATAGCAACCCGGTAGGACAGGGTAGAACTGCCCTGTGGGCTTCCGAAACGGTAACTCTTTAGGGGAATAGGAAGCCTCATCCTTTTTCCCCGAGTAGCGGCAGGTGGTTTCCACCTGAGGCCCTTGCAGTTTGCAACCCAACGAATAAATCACTACACCATAGATATCTTTGTTTTCCTAACACACATAAAATAATTTTTATTTATATAATCTTATTTTATATTGATGTATAAAATTATGTAATTTATAGTAATAAAAGTTATTATTTAAATGTTTGTTATTCTATGTGTTGGAACTCAATGCTATCTCGCACATCAAAGCATGATCTCACCAATATTTCTTGTTCTAGCCAGAGCTCTGATTAATGGGGCCATGATAATTGGCATTATGCTGATGGTATGAATCACAGGTGAGTGTTCGGGCAAGCTCAGGAAGGTTTCAGACCTTCAGCATGAATCCTTAACTCGTTGGGAATGTAGCTTGTGGAGATGAAATAGATGACTGGGACAAGGTCTTACACGCCCATGCATCCCTGTGAATGGTACATGAGTTAGTTAATTGTGCCAACCTGGCCGATAATCACATGTGGGGCTAATTGAAAGGCAGAGGGCTAAATGGGTGGTGAGCCTCGCCTTTCTAGTTCTCAGGTCTCTTGCTTTGTGATGGTAGCACCAGGGTGCAGTTGCCTTAGCAGTTCCCTGTTTCAGCTTGCAAGACTGACTTCCTACAAGACATCCCCAAGGAGAAGCCACATGGATCTATCCCGATGCAGCCCTGGGTGCTGGGGTAGCTGTGTGGAGACCCCTGCTAGTTCTGAGATGTTTATTTGTTCACTGACTCAGCTTTCCTCCTGCAGTCGGCATCATTGCCTCTGTTTTGTGAGGTGGAGGACTTTGTGGACTGGTGTTGGGGTAATGGGTTAACGTTGGACTTGTGGGCTTGGGCAGCATTGGGTTGGGATGTTTTCGTGATGCACACTTTCTTCACATAAAACTCTTATACATGAGTTGCTGTGGATTTGTTCTCTAAAGACTAATTACTCTAGACTAATACAGTACAGTGACATCTCCCTTCCAGGAAGCTTGAAGATGTGCAGTGGGGACCTGATGGGTGTGGGGCGCTGCAGGTGAAGGGAGAAGGAATTAGGGCGCAGTGTCCCGGCCACATTCTCCCGGGGTGGCCTTGGATTTCAGGCCCTTAGAACATCTGAGCTGCTGAAGCCAGCTCAAGCCAAAAGCAAACTCACTTCATCAAGGCCGAGTCATGGTGACCCCGTTGGGGTCACAGGAGTAGAAAGCCTCTCTTTCTTCCTAGGGTGGTTTTAACCGCCTGGCCTTGAGGTTAGCAGCCCAATGTGTAACCACTAAGCTAGCGAGGAGCTGGAAAAACAGTGACCGAGAGGGCTTATTACCTGCTCCTGCCACAAAAATCCACAACTGGTTTGCCTGTGAGTTCCCCCTCAAAGAGGGGAAAATATCAAAGCCAATTGTATATTTCTGCAGAACAAAGAGAGCTAGAAAAGAAAAGGGCGTCCTGGGGGGTCCACAGTTAAGCAGCCTGCTGCTCATGGAAAGGCCGGCAGTTCAAATCCACCCCGAGGCTCTGGGGGAGAAAGAGGTGGCTATCTGCTCCCGGTTAAGCTCACCAAAGCCTCCGCCCAAGCCCATTGCCAATGAGTTCGGTCCAATTCACAGCGACCCAGTAGGTCGGAGCAACGCCTGCTCCACAGGGTTTTAAGGCCACACATCGTTACAGAAGCAGACGGCCTCATCTTTTTCTCCGAGTGGCTGGTGGGCTCAAACTGACAACCTTTGGTTTGCTGTGGAGCCCTTTATCCACTGCGCCACCAGGGCTTCTCTATGTGGATTCCAGCCTATTGGGCACACCACCGCCTGGGGCTGTGATGAGTCAAAATCAACTCAACAGCGCCTAACAATCACAGGTGAGAGAACAAGAGACGAGAAATTGAGAAAAGGACAGGGGAAAGTGGAAAGAGCCCGGGCATCTGGACAGCTGGGGGGACGCAGGGAACACTGGGCTCTGGGAGAGAACTGACATGATAACGCCCCAAAACCCCGAGATCACTTTTCTCTCTTTTTTTGCTTTATCCAGCCAGATGGATGTCTGTTTTAGAATGCAAAAGGAAATATTCTACTGTAATCAATAAGCATTCTTAATTATTATGGTCTGCGAATTACATTCAAAAACTAGATTTTCCCCTCAGAGTTATATTTGATGTCATAAAGGGTTATGCTCATTTATCAAAAGGAAATGTGACAAATGAGGGGAAATCTTTCAAAATAGAGTCACTGGGTTACTCAAGAGGATTCACCGTTGTTATAAGTTGACACAGACTAGACTTACTTGTAAGGAATGCTGGTGGTGTAGTGCTTACCAATTGGGCTGTGATCCACAAGGTTGGCAGTTCAAAACCACCAGCTGCTCCTCAGGAGACAGACCGGACATTCTACTCCTGTAAACAGTTACGGTCTCAGAAGCTCACAGGGGCCGTTCTACCGATGAGTCAGCATGGACTCAGCGGCGGAGAGTCTGGTTTGAGACTTAATTGAAGCACAGAGCTCGGCAGGTACATGCCCTTGTCCACTGGTCACTCGATTTAGGGTGGAGGAAGAACAAAAAGATAACAACTTGAAGAGAGAAATAGGGGATGGATTGGTTGGGAAATGGGATCCATAGAATTTACCCTTTGCTTCCTACATCTGCAAGCAGGAGTAGCGTATAGTATGTTGGCTATGGGGGTGGATAAGGGCCACTACTCAGGATTCCCAGAGGAATTCTCAAAGGACTTTTATCCGAATGAATCCCTGGGTTAAAATAAGGAGTTAGGAACACACCAAAGCTGGGTTTCTCTCGCACATTGTCTAAGGGGGCAACGCCAAGAGCCGACATAGGCTTGCACCTTGGCCCCCTGCACTTACTCTCCGGGTGACACTGGACACTTCCTTCATTCCAGGCTCCGTTTCCTCAGCCACAAATGGGAATACTCATATGTACCCACCTTACAGGGTTGAGATAGTTTATCGTGCCAGCCTGGCCGATAAACACAAGTGGGATTAACTGAAGGGAGGAGAGATAAATGGCTTGGTGAGCCTCGCCTTTCTTGTCTCACGCTCTTTAATCATCGGACCAGTGTGCGGCTGCCTTGCTTGTTCTGTGCCTCAATTTACAGGCTACACTACCTGTGGGACGCCTAGCCTGTGAACTGTGTCGCTGTAAGTTGAGGTCCCTTTAAGACCTTGCTGGAGATGGGGACTGGTGGTTGGTGACCTGGCTGACAGTTGGTGACCTGCCTTGTGATTGGCTGCTGTGCTGAGATAGACCATAGCTCTCTCTATACAGAGGAAGACCTGGCAGCAGACTAGACTGGAAGGACTGCTAGTGTCTCACAACTCTCTCTCACGGGAGTGAGTTGCACTGAGCCATTTGTACTGCTTTATAATTTAACTGTTCATTTCTTATATACTTATCTGTATATAATTTAACAGTTCATTTCTTGTTATATATCTAATTATCTTTATAAATAAATATATTAATTATCAGCAATTTGGTTTTGTCTCTCTAGAGAACCCTGTCTAACACAAGGGTTGTTGGGAAGGTGAAATGCAGTCATTCTGTGAAGGGCCCATAGAATATCTGACATGCAGTCAGGGTACAATAATACATCCATTCCCCACTTATTGACACGGTTTGTTCCAAAGACCAAGGTTGTGATGTGAAAACCAGCATTTATGCAAACTGAAGGATGGCCACAATGGATTTCAAAATGGAGGATGTCATCATGAGATTACCCCCAAATGACATCATTACGTAACTCACCAACTGGCATCAACACATAACTCACCAAATGACATCATTACAGAGCTTCCAACCCACTGAGAATCTTGGTCCATATAACCTTCGCCATCTCAGTCAGCATCAGTCTTGCCTCACACTTAGGCATCTGCTACTGCCAGACCAGACACATCATTCAGGTGCAAAATCGATCTCTTTACTGTTGTCATAAGCTCAACATGCCAGGTAACTAGATAGTTGATATGGGAGGAGGGCTGGCAGGTGCCGTTGAGTTAACTCCTGCTCATAGCGACCTAATGTACAACAGAAGGAAATACCACCCAGTCCTGCATCATCCTCAGAGTTGTTCTCACGGTTGAGCCCATTGTTGTAGCCGCTGTGTCACTCCATCTCCGTGAGGGCCTTCCTCTTTGTCACTGCCCCTTATTTAGCAAGCATGATGTCCTTCTCCAGGGACTGGTCTCTCCTGACAACATGTCCAAAGAATGCAGGACAAAGTCTTGCCATCCTGGCCTCTAAGGAACCTGCTGGCCACACTTCTTCCAAGACAGACTGGTTTGTCCTTTTAGCAGTCCATAGTACCTGCAATATTCTTCACCAACACCATAGTTCAAATGCGTCCATCTATTTCAGTTTTCCTTATTCAGTGTTCAACCTTCATATGCATGCGAGGTGATTGAAGATACCATGACATGGGTCCGGTGCACCTTAGTAGCATCTTCGCTTTGCAACACTTTACAGAGGTCTTGTACAGCAGGTTTACCTAATTCGATGTGTCCTTCGATCTCTTGACGGCTGCTTCCATGAGCATTCATGGTGGACCCAAGCAAGAGGAAACCCTTGATGACTTCCACCTTTCCTTCATTCACCATGATGTTGTCACTGGTCCAGTGGTGAGGAATGCTGTTTTCTAGACATCGAATTGTAATCCATTCTGAAGGCTGAGGGGCAGGTATAGTATATGTTAAAAGATGAGCTGTTTTGATTTTTTACCTGATTGTACTGAGAAGGGTCTGCAAAGCTCGAGGGCTGCTCAGAGAAGGTACCAGGCGGAGTAAGGAGACTCTAGGCAAGAGCTGACTTTGGGAAATAAGATATGCGGATCCTTCACGAGCTTGCCCTCACTTGAAAAAAGTGGATGTCCACAATACTTGAGACGCCTTAGTTTTGAGATTTTAATGTAATACAACCCAAACGCAAGGGCCCAGGTAGTATATCAAATACATTTTTGCTTCTCACCCTGTCCATAAAAGACAGTTGTGGAAAATTGGATATTGACAAAAAGCTGGCTCTTCACCACAGTGTGAATGGAAGGCAAGGGGTATGTGGACACATGGGGCACTAGAAGGGGTGGGAGAGCGCCCTCTGCTGGTATCCCTTGTTGATGTCACAGAAGCATGTAACTGATCTGGGCATAGATCTGGATTTATAAACTAACTTTTGTTGAGCACATTCTATTGTGTCAGACACTTCTTTGCATAGATCTTCTTTTCTTTCTTCTTTTTTTTTTCAATGAATGTGAGACTTTATTGAAGGCCCAGGGCCATTGGGCTCAGAGGACCCCACCAGCAGGAGGCAGGGGACCTGGCAGCGAGGGGCCCTTATTTGAAGAAGGTATTATGATCGCCAAGTTACAGAGGAAGGAACGAAGCATGAGACGGAGCTGGTGCTTTATCCCAGGTCCGTAGACAAATTATCTGGTTTTAGAACCAAAGCTACTGAGTTGAATCGATACCATGTTAAACAGAAGACCGGGAAAGCGCCAAGAGAGGGGAGAGTGGAGAAGAAAATCAAGATATGTGAACACCGTTTTTCTAAAGGTTAAAGGCGGGAGGGTGGTTGCCATTAGAACTGTGCAATCAGTTGTTGAAGGCTTTGGATAAGGGACTTTGGTGGTGTTCTGAAACAAACCAACTCACCAGTTTGGGTTCTGCAGGGCCTACGGTGACAGTCACTGTCTCTGCTTCAAACCCAGGTGCCGTGGCAGTGACAATGTAGCTACCCGGAAGCAGCAGCCGGAAGTAATCGCCACCCTCCCCTGAAAGATACAATTTAGTCTTGTTAATAAGAAAACCGCCTCAAATAGGACCTTGCTATGACCAAGAATCTGGGTTTCTGCTGACTGCAAGCTTGGTTTTACTTAAGAGCATGATGAAATGGGTTCAGCTAGAAAACAATCCTTTGAAGGGGGGAACCGATTACAAGGATCTACATATAACCTCTGGGGATCTAAATTATATCCTTGGGGGACGGGCAGTAGAAAAGTGGGTCCAGGGAGACGTCTGACAGTGCAAGATATGACAAAATAATAATTTATAAAATATTAAGGGTTCATGAGGGAGTGGGGAGCGGGGAAGGAGGGGAAAAATGAGGAGCTGATACCAGGGGCTTAGGTGGAGAGCAAATGTTTTGAGAATGATGAGGGCAATGAATGTACAAATGTGCTTTACACAATGGATGGGTGGATGGATGGATTGTGATAAGAGTTGTATGAGCCCCTAATAAAATGATTACAAAGAAAGAAAGAAAACAATCTTTCATTGCTGTTGTGAGGTGCTATGCCAGCAGTTCTCAATCTGTGGGTCACAACCCCTTTGGGGGGTTGAACGACCCTTTTACAGGGGTCGTCCAATTCATAACAGTAGCAAAGTGACAGTTGTGAAGTAACACCGAAAATAATTTTATGGTTGGGGGTCACCACAACACGAGGAACTGTATGAAAGGGGTGCGGCAGGAGGAAGGTTGAGAACCGCTGTGCTATGCGGTTGGTTCCAACTCAGAGAGAACTGAAGGAACCATGCCTGGTCTGGCGTCTTCCTCACAACCGGCTCTATGATCGAGCCACTGTTGGAGCCACTGTATCAATCCATCTCATTGAGGGTCTTCTGCTTGTTTGGCTGACCTGCTGCTTTCCCAAGCATGCTGTCCTTCCCCAGGGACTGGTCTCTCCTGAAGTCTCACCATTCTCACTTCTAAGGAGCATTCTGGCTGTACTTCTTCCAAGACAGAAATCTTGTACTTCTTCCAAGACAGATTCGTTTATTTTTCTGATAGTCCATGTTACTTTCCGTATTCTCCACCAACACCATCATTCAAATGCACCAGTGCTTCTGCGGTCTTCCTGATTCATGGTCCAACTTTCATCGGCATAGGAGGCGATTGAGAATACTATGGCTTGGGTCAGGTGCACCATAATCTTCAAAGGGACATCCTTGTTTAACACTTTAAAGAGGTCTTGTCCCCCAGACTTCCCAATACAAAATACATCGCTTGCTTTCTTGACTACGGCTTCCAGGAACATTAATAGTGCATCCAAGCAAAATGCAATCCTTGACAACTGTGATGTTCTCTGTTTGCCATGATGCAACTGTCCAGTTGGGAGATTTGGGTTTTTCTCTCCGTGGAGTTGTAATTCTGCAGGCCTTAATTTTCATCAGCAAGTGCTGCAAGGCCTCCGCAAGTTCAGCAAGCATGCATGAGCCATCTGTCTCTCCAAGGTGGTTAATAAGCTTTCCTCCAAGATATAATCCAGCCTTTTAGATTATTTGCTCAGCATAGATTATGTCTGGTGAAAGGCTAGAACCCAGACTCACACTTTTCTTGACTTAAAGCAAGCACTATCCCCTTGTTCTAGTCAAAAGACTTCCTTTTGTTTCATGTGCAGGTTTTACATGAGCACAATTAAGTGTTCTGGATTCCCATTCTTCTCAAGGCTACGCATCGTTTGTTAGGATGCACAGATGTGAATGTCTACGCACTGTCAATAGAGCACAAAGAAACATCGTTCTGGTACTCTCTGCCTTCGGCCAAGGTCCAGATGACAGTAGCAATGGAATCCCTTAGTCCACATCCTCTTCTGAATCCAACTTGAATTCCTGGCAGTCCTTGTCAATGGACTGCTGCAACCATTGTTGAATGATCTTAAAATTGTTTACTTGTATGTGATATTAATGATAGTGTTCACTAATTTCCACATTCTGTGTATCGCCTTTCTGTGGAATGGGCATCAATATGGCTCTGTTCCAGTCGGCTGGCTAGGTAGCTGCCACCAACATTTGTTGGCATAGACGAGCGAGTGCTTCCAGTGCTTCAGCAGCTTGTTGAAACACTCCCATCGGCATTCCGTCAATTCCTGGAGCCTCGTTTCTGGCTAATCCCGTCCCTGCAGCTTGGACTTCCTTCTTGGTCATATGCTACCTCTTCAAATGGTTCAATGCCAACCAGTTCTTTATGGTATAGTGACTCCGTGCATTCCCTCCATCTTCCTCTGATGTTTCCTGCTTCATGCAATATTTTACCCAGAGAATTCTTCCAATTGCAACGCGAGGCTGCCCACGCGCATATGAGGCCATTGAAAATGCCCTGCTTTGTATTTTCCTACTCTTGTGGCATCCTGGCGCCTCAAGAAAGAGTCCACGCGTGGGCGACTGGGCCCAGTTCCTCAGAAGCAGACATCTCACTGTGCTCTATGCCCAGAGACTTGGGTCTAACTCTAGACCCCGTATCTCAAGGTCAATGTGTGTCAAGGAAAAGTGACACAGAGGGAGCAGAGGCTGAAAATCCTGTGGATGTTTTGACTTTGTTTCGATGTTTGAAAAGATGCTGTGAAGAAATTATGTCCACTCAAAGAAATGAGAATGAGCGCTATAGGTGAAGATTGCAAGGCGGCAGGTTTGGCTTAATGATGATACCTAGAGCTACAACTGCCCGATGAGCACACATCAGGGACTGAACTGTGCTACAGGTCTGTCCTACTGAACCTGTCCCTGTCGATGCGGCAGCCCTGGGCTGGACAACCAGGTGTCTGGAGTGTTGTATGTGGGTAATCTTATATTCAGTGTGTGGGTGGGTGGGATTGGACTAATGATCTGATTTTGAAAATCCGATTTTGGGTATAGATGAGGATTCCGGCACAAAAAGTGCGCCTGCCCCCTGCCGTGGTCTTTTCAGGCGCCTCCCACGCATGCAAAAGTGGGACAACAAACACGGGACACCGAAGCCAAGGGAACGCAATGGCATTGTGCTGTCCGCGAAGAATAAAGAAACCAGTCGTGGACGAAGCACAGCCACAGGCTCCTGGGAAGAGAGGTTGTCAAGACTGCACTTGGTGTCCGTGAGACAGGAGCCCAGCCCGTGAGAAGGACAGCGTGACGTCGGGTGAAGTAGAGGGCCGAGGGCAGAGGAAGACCTCCCATGAGATGAACTGACCCAGTGGCCACCTCCGTGGGCTCGGCCACGACAATGGCAAAGATGGCGCAGGCCTGGGGGGCGCTTCCTCCTGTTCTAACCGATGAGGCTGAACCAACTTCGACGGCACCAAAGAAAGCAGCCACCTTTTACATCTCCCCGCCGTCACCTTCAAATAGCTGCCGAAGGCGGGCTGCGAGTCGAAGACGGTTTTCTCTGTGTTCTCTCTCCATGGCAGAGAGGCCGCCTTTCGGATCATGGCTTGTCTGCCCCTTAGAACCGATTGTGATGTTGCCCTTTCACATTTCTCTTAAGCAAATCGACAAAACTCATTCGGATCCAGGCCGTTCAGCTTCGGGGCGGTCCTCTAGGCAGGGCAGAGCGGCCCTGGGGAGTTCCAGGGGTTTCCATACTCCTCACAGAAGCCAACCACATTTCCTCCGGCCAGCAGTTGGTAGGTTTGAGCAGCTGAACTTGGGGTTAGCAGTTGAGCGCTTAGCCAGTGGGCCACCGAACAGACAGCAATGAAGACTGGAAACAAATATGGAAACAAATGCAGCAAAGGACGAGACAGACAATGCAGAGAAGTCTCTTCTCTGTGTTTATTAAATGTCTTTCATTTACAATGTTTCCACCGTGCCCTGATGTGTGTGTTGTACAGTTTAAGTGCTCCCTCAGGACCTGACATTTTCTTCCCTGGAGGTTCGCCCCCAGGTGTGATGAGCTGAGGGGTTTACCGGAAAGGTCCCACCCAAGGACTTTAACTCTCTTTAGTAGTCATCCCACTAATAAGGGGCACAAGGAAAACAGCGGCGGTGAACTTATTTGTCGATTTAGCACCGTGCGTGCTGGACGGGCTCTCTGGTTGGCAGCATGAGGACCGTACGAGTCAATGTCATGGGCTAGTAAGCTTCAGCGACATTTCCCAACTGTCTGAGTGCTGCTGCTGCCGTCAGGGACCACCGCGTCAGTTCCGACTCATGGTGACCCCACATCCAACAAAAACAGAAAGAAAAGCTACATCAGCCGTTCTCAACCTGTGGGTCAAGACCCCTTTGGGGGGTGAGGGTCAAATGACCCTTTCCCAGGGGTCACCCGATTCATAACAGTAGAAAAATGACAGTGATGAAGTCGCTACGAAAATAACTTTATGGTTGGGGGGTTACCACCACCTGAGGACCTGCATGACAGGGTTGAGAACCACAGAGCTAAGTCCTCACAAGAAGACGAGTAACCGCGCCGTGATGAACAGAAAATCCTGACCATGTGGAGGACTTCCCTTTCCTGGGATCCACGATCGACGTCCAGGGGGGCAGCCTTTCAGAAATCAAATGGTGTGTTGACAGGAGCCCATCTTCTGCAAAAGACCTTTGCTCCAACAGGACACCAGACTCCTGCATCCCAGGGTAGAGACGGTGTCCAAGGTTGGGCCCCTAAGCAATCCATGGGCAGTCATTGGGTTGGAAAACTCTGATGCTTTGATGTTTGACAAGGAGGCTCGGAATTCTGCCTTTAGAACATTGTTACCTTTTCTTTGAATGAAACTTGGTTGCAAGAGTTGGTGGGGGTGGGAGGGTCACCTTGCTCTAAATCAAGCTTTCATCCAGTTTAAACGGAACTGTGAGTTGCCTGCATCATTCCAATTCTTTGAGTGGTAACATTTGACTAAGCCTTGCAGGTATTTTAGAGTAGACAGATCTCACCTACGCTTAATCATTGGTCATTGGCTGATACTGCTCTACATTAAAAGAAAAAACCTAAGAGCTCTGAAGAATCGAACCAGGCTGGGTCAGTTGACAGTCCCATTGCTCCATGAGCTATGCTGGACCCTTCTGGGAATCCAGTTTCCAGGCTGACTCCAAGAAGCTCCTTAACCATCACCAAGCTTTCCAGGCAGCAAGCCTAGAGGAGGAATCTCGCTAACTGTTCCCTGAATGGAGGCGGAGCAAAAGACTTGAGTCAGGGCCAAGGTTAAAGATCAGTTTTACAGTCCATCGCTTGTCGACCCCCATTTCAGCCCAGGACGGGAGCTATCGACTGTCGCAGGTGCAGAAAACCTGGCTGAACCACTTCGCATGTGGCAGTGGCTCCTGACTGCTGGCAGAGCAGTGACATTTATACAAGTCTTTCCTGGTGCTCAAGTCCCTGGAGGGGGATGTGAGAAGGGAAGGGGGGCACACGTCCACCTGAACAAAAGCTTGGAGATTCGAATCCACTCAGAGATGCCTCTGGAAAAAAGGGCTGTGACCCACTCCCCAAACTCTCCACCCCTGCACGTCGACGGTGTGAAGGCTGAAGGTTGAGAATGGTGACACGCCTTGACAAATGCACTCAGGGTCACCAAAAATGTACATGAGAAACCGTTGCCCTGTGGTATGTCCTGCTGTCTCTGTTTCCGGTCACAAGAGCAAGTTGGTTTTTAAAAATCATTTTATCGGGGGCTCGTACAATTCTTATCACAAGCCATCCATCCATCCATTGTGTCGAGCACATTTGTACATTGGTTGCCATAAGGACACGTTTTTAGAGTCATCCAAAATAAAACGCCCTACAGAGCACAGTTCTACTCTGACACACAGGAGGTTGCCGTGAGTTGGATCTCAACGTGCTGGCAGCCGGTTTTCTGTTTGAGCCGATCTTTCCCTTGCAGGGGCCGCTTGCCTCCTCGCCAAGTCTCCTCGTTCCTGTTCCTCTTCCCTCCTCCGATCCTCACCGATCCCCAGACCTCAGCTCCCCTGTTCATCTCACTGCTTACACATTGTTACCCTCCCGATTATGCCAAGGAAGGCGAAGAGCGAAAGTGTCCTTCCCCCCCCCCCCCCCCCCCCCCCCAGCACTGGCCACCTACCTGAAGTGACATCATGGCTAATGCCGCTGACGGAGATGACAGCCCCAGCTAGATTGTCATTGCTGTCACCATGCACCATGCCCTTGATGCCCTGGTGAACCTGTGGGGGAGAGTTTACACATGCACAGTCCAGGACAGAGCTACGTAGACAGTGTTTTCAAGTCCTCAGAGCTTTCCCCGGGTGTTTCCATGGTTAGCTTCAAAGAGCTCATGGGAATAGCCCTTTCACTGGTCCCTCAGCTTCCCCGCCCTCATCCCAGAACGGCCTCTCAGAAACTCTGCTGAAACCTAAATCCAGTCAAGTCGGTTTTATGCAAAAGCTGAAGTCTCAGTGACCACTTAGAAAGCTCGCGTCCCTTATGAGCCCTCTGCCCGCAGCCCTACTACCTTCTCCCTTGCTGTTAGCTACCATGTAGTTACCCCCTTCCCTCTCCAACAACCCATGCACCATGGCAGCAGACCATTGTGATCCATGGGTTCTCATTGGCTGATTTTCCCGCCCAAGGAGATCACCGGGACCTTTCTTTCTAGTTTCTCTTCCTCTGGAAGCTCTGCTGTTGAGGACTACAGCAGCCCGAAAGCCAGGACCTCCCAATGCTCTTGTCCCCTACGTTAGTCGGGCAACCATCCCAGCCACACCCATACCCTGGCCTGCTGCTGCGAGAGCCCCTGCTGTCCCCAGACTTCTGCAGGATTCCATCCCTTACCTCCTTTAAGTCTTCACTGAAAGGCCTTGGTAAGACCGTCTTCATAGTATGTTCCACCTCTTACATGCTATCTGTTTATTATTTTGCTTACTAGAATATGACCTCTCTGTGGGCTGGGCGTTTTGTTTATTTACTTATAATCCTCAGCATATAATACAACGCCTTTGTACAGTATAGCACCTCTAAGACAACAACAACGACAAGAGGATATTAAATGACGGCCATCAAGTTGATTCTGACTCATAGCCACTCTACAGGGCAGAGTAGAATTGGTCCTTTGAATTGCCAAGGCTGTACATCTTTAGAGAGCAGAAAGCTTCCTCTTTGTCTTGGGGAGCAGCTGGGGGTTCCACCTCCTGACCTTGTGGTTAGAGGCCCAACGCATTACCCACTAGGCCACCCGGTGCTCCACAAACATGCGTGGACTGTATATGTGCCAGTGGTAGACGCAGCCCAGGTCTACTCCATTGAATCGGAGCAAATGGCAGGCCCTTGTCTGATGCTTGGAAGGCCCATCTTTTCTATAGCATGCAAGTTCAAAATGAAATGTTACCTGTTCCAAGAATTGGATCAGGGGCTCTCGATTACCAAACCATTCTCGCTGTAGCTCTTCCTGCGGAGGAAACTTGTTGCAGCTCAGCTCTAGCGTGATCTCAAAGCAGTTGGTGTGGAGATAATTAAAGTCCTGCATTCCTAGGGCCAAGGGGCAGAGGGGAATCATCAGGTTCCCAGTCCGCACCCACCTCACAACTTCTCCACCCCTTCAATCACCTTCGTTTGAGCTTTTCATCTCCTTTTCCTCCAGCATCCTGGTCCACCTGCCCCTTCCTGTTTCCATCCTCTCTCCTCACAAACCACCATTTTACTGTCTCCATCCTCCACCTCTTCCAGTCCCTGACTTACATGCATGCACCAGCCCAAAGTTGATGGATGGTGCTTACTGATCTCTGGGGAGTGATTTTCTCTTTGGGCGGTGAAGGACTTCAGTCCCGGGAGGTGACAACAACTCACAGCCATTGGGTCCTTTCCAACTCCTAGTGGCCCATGAAGGGCTGCTGGGGCTAGACATCTCTACGAGAGCAGAGAGCTTCATCCTCCTCCCAAGGAGCATCTGGTGGATTCAAACCGCAGACCTTGCTTACCCAACAACACCCTGGCTTACCCGACAGCACCACCACTAGGGCTCCTGCCTGGTTGGTTAAACTCCAAATTCACTGCTCTCCAGTCAACTCCAACTCAGAGTGACCTGACTGGCCAGCACAGCACAGAACTGCCCCGGGAGTTTCCAATACTGGACATTTTAAAAAATGACACCACCACCCCACCCCACCCAGTACTGTAAAGCTCTACAGGAGTAGAAGGTTTGATCTTTTTCCTGAGAAGCAGCTGGTGGTTTTGAACTGCTCACATATAACCACTACATCACCGGGGTTCCTTCCCTGGGAAGTTCAAGGTAGACAAATCTACTGCTCCCACATCCCTTCTCCTACCTAAGAACACAACACGAATGCAGAAATGTGAAAACAGAGAAGACAACTAGGTTTTTCCTCCATCAAAGGCTTGTCTGCTCCCATTGTCTAGAACTATAGTATTTATTATTTAAAAAAACCTTTTTATGGTGAATTAGATGGGGGTTGGCAGATCAGATCATTGTTATTAGATTCAACGTCTTAAATGATGTATCAAACCACCCAATGGCTGGTCCTGTTTCCTGTGCCCTGTTTCCCCCCATTTCCCTCTCATACTATAGTATCCCCCCTTCACTCATGTGAAAATGTGGTTGTCAATGGCTGCCATCCTTTGGCACAGGTTGCCAGGCCTTCCTTCCAAGGCACCCCCAGGTGAATTCTAATCAGCAACCTTTGGACGAGTAGCAGAGTGCGTGATTGTTTGCCCTCTCCAGAAATTCCATGAAGGTGACCCTAAATACCAACCAGGACTCCTCCCATTTTTCAGATCCCTACTTGAATGTAAAATTCTATAGTATCCTTATGCTTTCAGTGAGACAACTGAGAACTTAAAAGGAGGAATGAGCACAATTCCACTCCAGCTCGTAGTCATTCCCTGGACTTTCCTTACCCTTGCTGAGTGAATACCAGGAAGCCCCATTAGTGATGCCATCTGGGAAATAATCCCCACAGTTCCAACCTTGGTACATCCATCCATGTGCATAGGAATAGACTTTGGCCAGCTGACGGAAAAGCAGACAGCGAATCACCTGGATAGTCTCTGTTTCTATGGCAAGGAAGGATCCAATACTAACAACAAGGCTACCAAGTTATAAGCAGCAGAAATGGAGAGGTGGCACGCACGTGTGTGTGTGTGTGTGTGTGTGTGTGTGTGTGTAAGTATAGTGGATGAAAGTTAGGAGGCCTGGACTCTATTCTTTCCTACTATCTTTGGTCTAATTTCTTCCCCCACAAAAAATGAGTATGACGAAGAATCCCAGGAACCAGTAGATAGGTCTGAGGGGCTGGCCCTAATCCCAACTACTATGTGGACACCTGCTCCTCCCCCCAGAAGAATTTATTTCAAAGGACAGCATTGAATCTGCAGCTCCGGGAGAGGGACAAATCTGATCAGAGCACACGGGAGCAGATGAAGGGGGAGGAGGAGAGAGTGGAGCACATCCTGGTCCACCAGGCCTTGAGGACAATATTCCTGATTAGAGCAACCAGTCCACAGAGAGGACCACATGGCCGGCCCCACTATGAGACATCACATTAATCACTGACCCATAGCCCTACAGGGGACAACACCGGAGACACAGTGTGGGAATTTCACCCGATCTGATCCCGCCACATTGAGGCAAAACACTAAGGGGATGCAACAGAACAGCAAGGGAACGGAGCAGCGAGGTCCCCAGGGAATGCTGAAGGTGGACTTTGGGGCCAGGGCGTGATGCCCCAACAGACTGAACTGGAAAACACTCCTAAAGGCCAACAAACAGTCCTTGAACTAACTACAGGCTTTTCTTTCTTGCTATGTTTTTTTTGTCATTGGTTTGTTGTTGTTGTTGTTTTGTTGTATATTATTGCTTGGTTTTTCTCTGTCTTGTTTTTTTGTGGATGTTATTATCTCCACAGGTCTGTTTAAATAAGATAGGCGGGATGAACAATCTGCAGGAGAAAACAATGAAACCGACACTTCTGGGGGGACATGGGAGAAGGGGAGGTGGGGGGAAAGGTAGTGGTGTTAACAAATTCAGGGACACGGGAACTAGTGATCCAAATCAGTGATGAGGTGGGTGTAGGAGGCATGGTAGGGCATGATCAAGGGTAATGTAACCAAAAGGAATTACTGAAACCCTAATGAAGACTGAGCATGATAGTGGGACAAGAGGAAAGTCAAAGGAAATAGAGGAAAGAGCTAGGAGACAAAGGGCATTTATAGAGGTCTCAATAAATGCATTTACATATGCAAATATATTTATATATGAGGATGGGGAAATAGATCTATGTGCATAAATTTCTAGGTTTAGTATTAAGGTAGCAGAAGGACATTGGGCCTCCACTCAAGTACTCCCTCGATGCAAGAATACTTTTTTCAATTAAACTGGCATTTTATGATGCTCACCTTCCCGACACAA